AAACACGCAAAACTTTTCAGATATCATTATTATTTTTTCTATACTGTTTTCCAGTTTTGTTTTGTTTTGATTTCAGTTTGTTGAAACAGCTGTTGAACAATGCAGAGCAACACTTTTTGGTCATTGAATAAATTTGAATAATTAATTACAATGCTTAGAGCGACGGGCCCTTCAAGCAGACATTTGGCGACCAAAGCAATTTAAAATGCGACCGAATGGCGTTGGCGTAGGGTTTGATGGAAAAAGAGAGAGACAAATTAACAAAATTTGTAGAAAAAAATGCTGAACAAAATGAGTAGAAAAATACACAAAATGTTGTACAAAAAGATCTCAAAGGAAATTTTTGCTAAAGGGTTCAACTTTAATTTAATTGGAGCCATTAGAGAACGTTTTAATTAGTTTAAAAATATTTTATTGATTGTAGAACTGCAAACGTACATGCTGCATATTTGATTATTCATTAATAATAAATATAAAAAAAAGTAAAGAAGTAAATAACCGGTATTATTTTTATCAGCAGTTGTATCACGTATTCAGCTCGGTTTTAAATTATGACGAATTATTTGCTAATAACCAAAGATAAATAAATTAAATCACAATAAATCACAGCTAAGACCCAAGATACATTTTTAGCAGCAATAATAACAATCGTAAACTAATCAATTTAAAATCGAAACAATAGTAAATCACTTAAAGTCGTTTGACTACCTTTTCAAAGTTAAATATTACAAACATTCTTTCTACGAGTGGTTTTTATACGACACCCACTGCCCTACATTCAATTTTCAATTCAAGGGCTCCAACATATTGAGAGATTTGATTATTTTCGTCATCAAGAAACACACAAAACAAAGCAGAAAATAAACAAAATTATACGGGTCGCACAGAATAGTTCCCCCCCCCTCACATATGCAAAATATAAATACCTATATACTATGTATGCATGGCAGATATACATACGAATTTTTCGACAATAAAATGTTTATGGAAATTCATTAGTCAGCAAAACAAAAGGCTAGTCACTAGCCTAGCCACTAGGCACAATTCCACTCAATGTGAAAAGCTCTCGAAGTCAGACAGAATTTGTCAGAGAACAGACGAATTTCTGTTGATTTGGCTTAATAATAGTTAATTACATGCCGAAAACATGATGGTTTAATTAATATACGACTGTGTGGTGGGGCCGCCAGTTTCGTCAACCGACTGCTGCTATCAGTGTGGGCATAAAAAAATCAACTAATCTTTTCATAAACCATTGAAATTCACTTTTGGCAAACTGTTTTTCAAAGCACTGTCCCTTGATAAGAATTCAAAAAAAAAACCCATTGATAAAGATGAGTTTAGATGGGAAATTGGCGTTTAAAAACACATTTTGTCCAGCAGGTCCGCACTTTGGCACCAGCTTACACTATCTCCGCACCCGTTGGCACACCCCCTCTCGCTGCTATCACTCGTGCTTGTGCTCGTGCTCGTGCTCCATAGGCCCCACTGTGCTGACAACTTCGCTGCTTGCGTTTATCAACGGCTCTTCAAGGTGTATAAAAAAGAGGTGAGGCTTTTGAAAAGCCCGCGCTCACCCGCTCTTAACATAGGTATTCATATTCCATCTGTCACATATCCGACCCAATACTGAGTACATTGGATACATTTACACATCTAGTGGAATGCCCAGAATAAATTATGAACAAAATATGCAAAGACCGGGCCAACCACCTTTCGTAAATAGACCCCTTGGCAGCAGATAGCAGCAGCGCGCAGCGGCGACTGCGCTCGCAGCAGAGGGTTAAGCGAGCGCCGTTGCTTCAGTTTAAAGATCGGCAAAGTTAGTTAGTCTGCATTCGCCTGGGCTCGTAGTCGGGTCGGGGGCTTCGCATCCGATATATAATCCAAATCGATAAGAACTTTATTAGATTGAAATCAACGCACCGCACCACACACAAAAAACGGAACAGCACAACAAATTTGTTGTCGTTTATTGTACTGCACATTTATTGTTCCCCAATATTCCGGCTATCGCAGAATTTGCTTTGGCCCCCACGATCTATTGATAATCGCGACGTGTGTGAAATAATAGAGAAATACAAAATATTGTAAAGTGTCCCGTTGGTTCCGATCGTGCCAGTGTGTGCTCCAGAAAGAAGAAGGCTCTCCGATAAGACCCCAACTGCCGACAAGTAATGGCCAAGAATAATGAATACATCGAATTGTAAGTAATCGCAGTAATTCCTTGGGTAGAGTGTTTCCTGTGAAAGTGAATCATGGAAAAATGTACGCTGGAAGATTCTGTAGAGTGTGCTGTGCAGACAAGAGTGTCCAAAGTTTGAGTTCGAACAGAAATCTCCATCCCCCGGCTTATCTCAAAAGCTTCAATTCAGCTGTGAAACTGTTTTTATTGTGCGTTTCCCTTTTCACAAGGGCAAGTGAAAAAGACGACGGAGGAGAGGCTTCGCCGAAGCTTTGAGTACCCTACACTACTCCAAAGGAATAACATTAATTCAAGAGATATTAATATCTTAAATGGATATATCTTGGGGGATATAATATTATTAAATTGTTCAAGATTAGTTTAAAAGTGAAAATTGAAAAAGTGTTTTACTTTTCTTACGGGCATGTCTTTAGAAATATCTCCCAGCTACAAGTTAACACTTAACACTTTTCTAGCAAATCCCTCATGGTCAATCCTATGATATACAAAAGATATAGTGATCCTAGTGACTCCAATTAATTTTCAGTAATAAAATATTCGTAAACTTAACCCAGTTTCATCAAGAAAACTAGAAAACTAAGACATATTTCCATAAGAACTGACTCTATTGCTTTTTGGCATCTTCTTATCAAGAATAAACGTATTTATGTGATCTATAAAGTCTATAGAATACCCCCTTCGTACCCTCTGGTAAAGTAAGCAATTAAAATCATAAATATAATATAGTTAAAAACAACTTTGCGAGTACTTCGCCGATAGTATCAGACACCAGATATGCCATATGTATAATCTCCAAGTACTTCTTTACCCAGGCCGCCTTTACCGACTTTCTTTGCTTTAACACCAACACCAACTAACGATCGTTTAATTAAACAATGCCAAGTGCAAATTGTCTAGGAATTCGTTTGTGTGTTGACACAATATATGCCAGCCATAAAGTTTATATTGGAACCCAAATTACGTTGTTTTTTCTGAGTCATTGCTGATAAACATATCAGAAGTAATGCGGCGACAGGTGGCTTCGCACATGGTAAGCTCTGGATGGACCCAGTTTTTACCGACAAATGGCAGACAGCTTGGATTGTCTGTGTGTCTGTCTGTCAATCTTCTCAGTCTGTTTGTCGGTCGGTTTATTTTATTTCTATATAATACAGATTAAACATCTGACTGGCTGATAAGACAGTACGAGATGATAGGCTATATATGTAGACATAAACCTTTATGCAATGAAAATTTTTCCATCACTCTTTTCTAATCTTTAAAATAACCTAAAACTGAAAATGTGATTTTTAACATTCGTGTCCAAAAATTCAAAAAGTCAAAAACATTTCAGGAATCTAATATAAGTTCCTACTTGAGCTCCTAAGCACACTGAAGCCCTACTCTAGACCCAAAAAAGCTTCTCCATCAAGGAAAAATGTTTAGCTATCAGATAAAATATTATTTCGGAGACACTAAGACCCCAGATAAAGTGCCTGTGACTGACAGAAGTTTCACCTGAATTCCAGCTCCACCCAATCGACATTGAAATTTAAACAAGAGAAGCCAAGTATATTTATATTAAGAATTGCTGCTTCTCATTGATGTAATAACCAAAACATTGCAACAATGTAATCCCTTCCTAAATATCATTATAATGAGTCCCCCCGCTGCCGGTGTAAGCACGCCCACCATTAGATCATTTATGGAAGATGACACCTGGAACACGTCGCACAAATTAAAGTGCAGTTCCAATACGAAAAGCAAAGACCAAGAAAAATACGAGTCAGTCGCAAGTGCAAAGAGGGAACAACAATAAATGCTAATGAATTCATTTGTAAAATCTGCTGCTGGCCGGCCAAATACTCGTAAATATCCATATTCATATGGCAATTAAGAAACTGAAGCACGTGTATTTATCAAAATTATACAATCAAGCAGCTCAGCACACTCCCATTTCGCCATTGACTGTTTGGTGCCGCAAAAGTAAAACAAATATCCACTTGCTGTAAAAGCGAAATGTGCCAATGGCTCATAAAATATTATTCATCTGTGTGAATTGAGAAATGGATACGGGGAATTGAAATGCAACGACAGACCGCCCGACAGGCAGGGTGATTCTAAAAAAGTTGCTTGCCCATCGAATCGGTGGGTGGGGGGTGGCACTCGCTGTGACAAGTGATTCGGACGGGTGCTGGCGCTGTGCCTGAAACTGTGACAATGAGCATGGTAATGACACCACACTCGATGTCGCTCATACTGCTTTGCTTGTGCTCTTCGATTGGGTATGAGGAGCTTCGTAAGAAGGTGGTGGATCGCGTAGGGAGTGTGCTTTGGGAATTAGTATCCGGAGAATGATGGGTGTGAATGAAACGAGGTATTCGATGTAAAATAAAGTATTAATCAAATTCAAAGTCATATCTGAAATACTTTCGAGCAATTCTTAGCTCGAATTTTCCTCTCCCCACTTGGATAGGGTATCTACACAGCATTCAACACCTAAACACCACTAAGTACTCCTTAATTTATGTCGATTTTGTATATACTCGCATGAACCAGTCTCTACACTCGTCTCAGTCTCGATTCATAAACGCATTTCAATTAGGCGTTTGACAAGCACCTATTTATCTATGCAACTCAGGAGCGGTCTGTTATTTTCTGGGCCTGCTTTAGAGGCCGCGGTAAAAATGCTACTAATTAACAAGCACTTCAGCACCTGATAGGAGACTCGTGCCATAATTAAGAATTATTTGTATTTTCTTTTACGAGATTCGGACACTTTTGCTGACCCTTTTTATGCATTTTCTCTTGACAGACCCTGGACCATGAACTCCTCGAGTGGTGACGATGAGGCGCCCAAGGACCCGCGCACCGGTGGCGAGGACTTTACGCAACAATTTACAGAGAACGATTTCGAGGGTAAGTTTCTTACATATTTTTTAATTTGTTAAGACCTGACTCCACAAGCCATGGCAACATTTTGGTACAAGCCTACACCAAAAAGCGATGGCTGACTAGTGGAACCAGACGCAAGTCACACGTTTGACGTAAATCAAGGTGTTTTGGAACAAGAAATTTGCGTCGTGTTAATTGCAAGTTGACATTTTCGAACACCACGTCAACAGTAAAGTGGAAATGGGCTATAAGATATTTTGGGGAAGTCAGAAATATTGCAGATAGAACCGGAACTTCAGCTTGGATTCTAATAGGCAATGGAGGTTGTCTATGTATGTTTATGTTTTCCGTGATTGATGTACTAATTATGGAAGATGTCAGTCTGTATTTCGTAAATATAAAGCAGAATTGGTTATTAGGGGTTTAAATTAAAAGAAGTTAAAAGATAAGTTTTCGGAGATAAAGAATTGATAGGCAAAAGAAATTTATTCTCTAAGATTCCTCTAACTTCATGAGCAGATTGTATTATACTTTTCTAGAAACAAAATAGGTCGAATTTGTATCTCCTGAAGGAGTTTTCATTTGCTTTTAATCCATCATAAATAATTCTTTCTGTAATTTGTTGCAATAAAAAGTATTTTTTAGCATCAGAAAAAATTTATTTTACTTGGAGTTTAATTACAAAAACTCTGTTTTACCTAAATATATTCCCATGTGTGGCAATCCCCACTGTAGTCTGTCAGAAGTTGCATTTGAAAAAAACTGCATTAAACAAGAAAAATGTTTAGTAAAACGCCCACAAGTACGGGTAAGCCATATAAGACCGGGGGTAGCGTGACTCGAAGATAACTGGAAAATAATTTAACTAGACCCGTACAATGTGCTCTGTATAATTAATTTAAATTTATGAAAAACTACAAAGGCAAGTACCAGATGATATCACAATTAGTCAACTGAGCAATGACTATGAGCTAATAAATTGCTTTAAAAGCCGAGGACAAAAATCAAGGGAAATAGGTAATAAACATAAATTTATCTGTAGGCTTTCTCAGTTTGGGCTTCTGTCGATGAATTAACGACTCGCCCACGTAATTCTCATTGAAAAACACATGCCAGACGGTCTATAATTATACGTATAGTAAATGACTGGTCTTATCAGTAGATTAAACCCAAAAAGTGAACTTTAAGCTTTGATTCTAATTGAAAGTGATGCGAAACACGTTTTAAAAAAAGGAAAATCGCAAACAAAAAAAAAAAAAAGACACTTTAAGCTAACAGAATTACGAAACTCAATTGCAATTAATAATAATAAATTTGGAATCCATCTTTCTTCTCCTTCTCGCCCACAGGACATCGCGCACACACCGTCTATGTGGGTGTCCATGTGCCAGGAGGCAGACGCCATTCCCAGCGCCGCCGCAAGCATCATCACAGCGGTCCCGGAGGAGGCGGAGGCGGAGGTGGTGGCGGCGGATCCGGCGGTGGCTCCGGCAGCATGGGAGGTGGCGTCTCTAGCAAGGACAGTGGCAGCGAGAAGCAACAGGAAGTGGAGCGTCCAGGTGGGGTTCCAGAATTTGCTTTATTACAGCCTCGGGCATCCTGTGGCCTTGGGGATGGGGTGGCGTCCATGAACGTGTCCATGCCCGTATTCGTGTGTGTGCATTGTGTGAACGGCAAATATAATTACGAAATGGATGCTGAAGAATGATGTAGAGGAATGGAGAACGAAATGGAATGACAACAAATGCGACCAATCAGTTTGCAAGCCCTGAGAATTGTTGCAAATTACAGGAAACCCCAGAGAAGGCGAAGGAGGTACATCCAGTGAGGGTGGTGGGGTGGGGTGGGGTGGCACAAATTATAGCCCTACGCTGGAACATCTCATCACTGGCATAATGGAAATGACAGATGATTGGCTTAGGGACTGAATATGGGGGGAGCAGCAATGTGGGGAGTTGTAAACGCAAAAATTTGAGCCGAATGAATGTTGGATATTTAAGCAATTAAAGAGTTGAAACGGCATGATAATCCAGTTTAAAATTAGAAGGACTAGGACTAGGCATAGTATAAGCGGAACCTTCTCTCAAAGTCTTTGTTCGTGTCAGTGGGAATTTAACAGCGAATCAACAACATTCGAAACACTTGGTGAATGTTCCTTAGTGGCGCCAAAAAAACTCTACCATTTCCGAAGCCTCTGACTGGAACTTAGCTTAGCCCCACAATTTCACACAAACCTGTCCCAAGTAAACCTTCAAGCGAGCATTCCCGTTGCCCAAAAAAAACCTCACGCAATCCTGACATGTATGGAGCTAGGGGACATGCACATAAGTAGGACATATGGCCATTGGTCAGCGGGGCAATTCCCTTTACGGATCAGAGCAAAATTATTTCGCCAATTAGCTGCTGCTTCCGGACACGCAGGCGGCTGACTAAGGTCAAGGATGAACATGATAAAATAAATGATGTGGGCAGAGGCAGTGGGAGTGGAGCCACATAAATGTTTATTACGCTAATAAAGGTCCTCGCTAATCCTGTACTCTCTTTCATCTGCTCTGTGCTTCTGTGTTTCCCGTTGCTTGGATACAAAACTCAACTCAACAGTTACACCGCCCGCACAACGTGTGCAATTCATACTCGGCGAGGATGTGGACGATGGGACACATGTATCGCATCCTTTGTTCTCGGAAATGGGAATGCTGGTGAAGGAGGGCGACGAGATCGAGTGGAAGGAGACGGCGCGCTGGATCAAGTTCGAGGAGGATGTGGAGGAGGGCGGCAATCGGTGGTCCAAGCCCCACGTGGCCACACTATCCCTGCACTCGCTGTTCGAGCTGCGACGCCTGCTGGTCAACGGCACCGTTATGCTGGACATGGAGGCTCACAATCTGGAGGTGGTGGCCGATCTGGTCTGCGATCAGATGGTCAGTGTCGGCAGCCTGCCCCCCGGCGTCAAGGACAAGGTCAAGGATGCCCTGCTGCGTCGCCACAGGCATCAGCACGAGTATGCCAAGAAGACGCGACTACCCATCATTCGATCCCTGGCCGATATGCGCAACCATTCGTCATCGAAAAGTGAGTATAAAGGGGACACAGATGGGATTCGCAGAATCCTTTGCAGGAATCATTAGGTTACTCTAAGCTCATCTCGTTCGTTTGGTGTTACACTGTGAGCCATCATTCAACATCATTCAACCAACATTCACTTGAATCAACTCAGTAATCATCATGAGTCATGAGGTTGTGTCCTAGAGCGCTACTAAAAGTTTTCACTCATCCAAACTAATACTAAAACAAAACCATTATATCGAACCGGGTCGAAAGCAGACCTGGCCAAGAGCAATCCTCTGTACTCACTGCATGGCTCGTCAACTGGTCTGGATGGATGCCATACGCCCCTCATGACGACACCCGTCCATGTGTCGAGTAAGGATCAGCGTGGTTGTTATCTCGCTGTTCCCACAGGTATAGCCGTATAACTAGAAAACTCCCCCCGTCACCATCCACCAACCCACTCAATCACTCAATCACTCTCTCCATCTCCATCTCTGTCTCTCTCTCTCTCTCTCTCTCTGTATAGATGAAAGCCAATAATATTTTTCAGTTGCCTTGCACTAAACAATCAATCAGAAAACAGAACCACAGCCAGAACCAAGCTAAACTTAGGACTCTCTTCTCAAGAACATCCTTTAGACAGCACCTTGGCACTCATATTTCAAGCATTATTCCATCAGTAAATCATTCATTTAGTTAAGTGGGTCGGGGTGCCACTAGCACTAGGCGAACAACCAGTGTTGTCCAACGTTAACCAAAACAACGCTCTTGCTACTCCGTTCGTCTCCTGTTTAAATCCCAACAACAACAACAACAAAAACAGCTGACGCCTCAACGCATCTGGGTGGCATTGGTGTCACCACCTGGTTTCATGCTGGGGCATCGCCTCAGCATCAACCACAGAGGCCACCATCCAGCGGTCAAGGACAATCACAATCACAATCAATACCAAGTAATAGCCGATTCTATAGCCCATAAAGGGTTTTTACTGTACCTACCTACTACTCGTATCTCAAGAGCACGCTGTGTTTATCGATCATAATGTCTTGTCTCTGAAACTCAATCTACTATTTTACTATACTCCTTCTACTCCTTCAACTCCTTCAATCTTTAAACTTCAAACTTTGATCTTCACTTTACTCTTCCAATAGCAATCGTATACCCCTACCAATTTTAAAGCTCATTAAGCTCTTTATTCTACTATGATGATTACCACCCATTTTTGTGCTGTCTATCTACACAATTTACTCCAATTGCAAACAGAATATGAATAACCAAACCGAAAATGGTTCCCAAGATTCCAATCGAATATATTATCAATGATGATCCAAAGGCACATTCGAGATACTTAGATATCCTAGAGATTCTTCTTCTACTTGTAATGCCCCTAAAACCTAAAACCATCAAAAAAAAAACCAAACATTTTCCAGTGGAAGAACAGTCTGGAAACGCTTTAGGGGCCACCACGCCGGTATCTCTAGCGGCGAGTGAACCGGGACCGCCTGGCACCAATGGCAATGCGAGCCTAACCAACACTGGCGGCGGCATGGGCCGTTTTCTAGCAGTGCCCGGAAAGCCCAGCAACAGAACGCTCGGTAAAGAAAATCGATAAAAAAAAACGAACCCAACTCAAGAACTGAAGTTAATTGTTCCTGTTTAAAAGTTTCCGTTTGAATTTACGTGTCTGTTAATTGTTTGAAATGGTTTTAAAAATGGTTCTAAAAAGAATACAACTGCATATACTATGTATAATCCTTCCTACATCTAATGTTCGTTTGGTAGTAAAAAAAATAGTTTTTTTGTAAATCTAAAACCCTCCCCCATGCATGAAGGTTTACCCCAAGAAGAAGGAAATGGTTCTGTAGAAGATACTCGTAATACTCGTACAAACCGATCAAACACACACTCTGCACGCTTATCACCTAACCAATATCTACTACTTTTTTATGCATGCTTTTGGCACCTATTTATATATCATACTTTGAACTCAATTTGAATTTACTTGCAGCACCTTTTATGCGAATATATTATTGATTGATCTTTAATCCAAAATATATCTTTTGCACTTCTTTTTTCGTATGTTTTATTTGTTGTACTGTGCCCGTTTCTTAACGTGTTGATCGACATGTTGTTGTTGTTGTTATTATTGTTGTAATACCTATCAACGCACGTACCCTCCAACGAAAACCCTGCACCAATAAAACAAAAAACAAAAACAAAAAACCAAACCGATCTCAACCACAACCGATTCTTGCACCCGTGTAAACCGTAAACCGTAAACCGTAATCCGTGTAAAATCCCCCGACTAATGCAGAGAAAAAATCTAATTCTAAAAACTTGCGAACCGCACAAAATCTTCCGGTGATCACAGAGGATATGGTGAAGAGTCCCAGCAGCCAGTCGATGGCACGTCCGAGCAGCGGCACGGAGCTCAACGAGCAGCAGCACAAGGGCAACACACACTTTATGAGAAAGATCCCTCGTGGTGCGGAGGCCAGCAATATTCTGGTTGGCGAAGTGGACTTTCTGGAGCGAACCCTCTCCTGTTTCATCCGCTTGAGCCAGGCAGCGCTCATGGGTGATCTGACAGAGGTTCCAGTGCCCACAAGGTATGGCCATCCTCTACATTAAATTCTTCTAAAGATTCTAAAGAGAGTATACATTCCCCCCCCTGCAGATTCATCTTCATTTTGCTTGGACCGCCTGGTAGTCAGAGCAATTTCCATGAGATTGGACGAGCCATGGCTACCCTGATGTCGGATGAGATCTTCCACGAGGTGGCCTATCGGGCACGCAAGCGAGAGCATCTTCTGGCCGGCGTTGATGAGTTCCTCGATGCGGTCACCGTTTTGCCACCTGGCGAGTGGGATCCCACAATTCGCATTGAACCGCCAGCAGCCATACCCTCGCAGGATGTGCGCAAGCGACCACCAGAGCTGCCAAAGGAGGAGATCGACGAGGAGGAGGAGGAGGCGAGACTGAGGGAAGAGTCTGGTCTCTCACGGACAGGTCGTCTCTTTGGCGGTCTGATCAACGATGTGAAGCGAAAGCTGCCCTGGTACTGGAGCGACTATCGGGATGCTTTCTCCATGCAGTGCGTGGCTTCGTGGATCTTCCTGTACTTTGCCTGCCTCTCGCCAATCATCACGTTCGGAGGCCTCTTGTCGGAGGCCACCGGCAAGCATATGGCAGCGATGGAGAGTCTGGTGTCGGGGTTCGTCTGTGGCATGGGCTATGGCATCTTTTCGGGTCAGCCGTTGACAATATTGGGTTCCACCGGTCCAGTACTGGTCTTTGAGGCAATTATCTATGAGTTTTGCACTAAAATGCAATGGGATTATATGACATTCCGGTTCTGGATCGGAATGTGGGTGTCCGGAATTTGTATCGTCCTGACTGCGATAGATGCCAGTGCTCTCGTCTGCTACATAACCCGCTTCACCGAGGAGAACTTTGCCACCCTGATTGCGTTCATCTTCATCTACAAGGCCATCGAGAATGTGGTGGTCATCGGGAAGAATTTCCCCGTCAATCAGGGCATATACGATTGTGTTTGCATACCGCCGCCAGGTAGCAATGCCAGTGTTGTGGAGTATGCCAAATACAACTGGAATTATTGTGAGGTAAGGAAACGTTAACGGCAACTGTAAATGTCCAATTCCAGTCTATAGCTCAACTAACTTTTCCCCTCAGCCGAACAATGGCACACTGATTGGTGGCGACTGTGGTACACCACCCACCGAGAATGTCTTCCTCATGTCGGTGGTTCTGTGCACCGGCACCTTCATCATTTCCACCATTCTGAAGGATTTTAAGAACGCCCTGTTCTTCCCCTCGGCTGTGCGCCAGTACATAAGTGACTTTTCCGTGCTGATTGCCATCTTTGCCATGACATTCTTCGACTACTCGTTGGGTGTGCCCACACAGAAGCTGGAGGTGCCTGCAGAGCTGAAGCCCACGCTGGACACGAGGGGTTGGCTCATTCCACCTTTCAGCGAGAGGAATCCCTGGTGGTCGCCCATCATTGCCGTGTTCCCTGCTCTCCTGGGAACCATTCTAATCTTCATGGATCAGCAGATCACTGCTGTGATTGTCAATCGCAAGGAGAACAAATTGAAGAAGGGCTGCGGCTACCATTTGGATCTGTTTGTTCTCTCAATTCTTATTGCCATTTGCAGTGTGATGGGTCTGCCATGGTGAGATTTCTCTCTATCTATTCGATATATTCGATCAATGATCCTTGATCCTTACCCATCTGTATCGTATCCCCAGGTTCGTGGCTGCCACTGTTTTGAGCATCAACCATGTGAATTCATTGAAACTGGAATCGGAGTGCTCGGCCCCTGGCGAGAAGCCACAGTTCCTGGGAGTACGCGAGCAGCGTGTGACACACATCATGATCTTCCTGACGATAGGTGGTTCTGTGCTGCTGACACCGCTGCTCGGTCACATTCCCATGCCGGTGCTGTTCGGTGTATTCCTTTATATGGGCGTGGCCTCGCTCAAGGGTCTGCAGTTCTTCGATCGCATATTGATCATGTTCATGCCAGCCAAATACCAGCCAGATTACATGTTCCTGCGACAGGTAAACACTATCACTAAGACAGATATTCTATGCATACCCTTAACGTTACTAACTGATTGATTTCCCCTCGATAGGTTCCCATCAAGCGAGTTCATTTGTTCACCATCATACAGCTGGCCTGTCTGATCATACTCTGGCTGATCAAATCCTTCTCGCAGACCTCCATTCTCTTCCCCCTCATGCTGGTGGTGATGATTGGCATACGCAAGGCCCTCGATCTGGTTTTCACGCGTCGCGAGCTGAAGATCCTCGACGACATTATGCCGGAGATGACGAAGCGAGCGGCCGCCGACGATCTGCATCAATTGGACGCTGAGGTGGGCTTTGTTCAGAAATTTTTACCCTGTTTCGGCGGTGGTCGCAGCAGGCCCAATGCCGATACCAAGGCCGGTCTTGAAGGTGCTGGCGCTGGCAATGCCGTCGGCCTTGGCCTGATCAAGTGCAGCAGCTCAAATGCAAATGAAAAAGAGTTTGAGGCACAGAGTAGTCTCCTCAAAAAGTAAACCCCGCACTCTGTCACTGGCACTTGCACAGTCCACAGTCACCGTCATAGAAACTAAACACCTCCACGAGATCAGATCGGATCAGATCAGCCCCATTTCATTTGCGTTTGCAGTTGCAACCGTTGCACAAAACATCGATCGATCATCGATGACCGACGAACGATAGCCGTTTCGATGGTGCCGATTTCTATAAACTAAATTATTCTTAGATATCATTCTTTTAAATTGCATTTTGTCGGTAATGATTCATTTCCACGACTATAACTATATCTCTATATACTTGTACATGCATAATACTCTACTTTGTTTTATATGTTTTTTATTTTATCATGTTTTTAACAGTATTTTGTAAATGTTTATCCCCGCCCACCCCCTACCACCCACTTTTTCTAATTTTAAATCTTGGCATGCAGCTATATTTTTGCATTTTGCTTTTTTATATACTTGTACGATTATTTTTGCGTCTATTCCAATTGCTAATCGCAAATTGATTTCAACTGTAAATGCTAATCCCAAACGAAAAAAAAAACAAGAGAAATTTGGTATGCTGTCGTTTTTTGTAGTGCAATCAAATGTGTTATCTATCCGAAACCTACTCTAAAAACTACTCCTACTCTATATATACAATATATACATATATATATATATACACACACGAAGGATATTTATAAATGTAAATGAAATTCTAGCCATAAGCCATTGTTAGTCATGCTGTGCGCAAACGTTTACACTGTACAACAAGTACCTTAATGTATTAAATGGAACCTGTTATGTTATTTTATAGTCATCATCGGATCAAAAGTTCCCAGTAACTAACCGAAAACCGACCCAAAAAACTAGCCAGAGATAAAAAAAAAAAACACAAAAACCTCCCCACATATTTGTAGCGAAATTGATGTAAATTTTAAAAGTAAAAACAAACAAAAAAAACACCCAAAAAATAAACTGAAAAATTTGGCATAAAAGAAAATTTTACACACCCATTGGCTCGTAGATTGAACACGGATACACCTCACCTGTACAACACTCACCAGCAGAATATTGGCTTTACGTTTAATACTCGTAGTACCACACCGCAGTTCCATTAGCAGAACATTCACATCAGCGAATGACAGTGTGTCCGTTCGCTTATGGGGAAATTTCTACTGTGGTGCTAGTGGCGACACAGACACAATACGTATATCACCCTTTCTTCACTCTTTCTCTCCTACACCCAAGCTATTTCACTCTACCTGTATCTGTATCTCTTACTCTGTTTCTGTGAGTTCTTTTTGGAACCAAAACTATGGAAATGTGCAAATTTTATATTGAAGGATAATCACCATCAGCAACCGCCTGGGGCGGGTACTGCCACAGGAGCCAACTATAATCCCAATAGTGCGGGTCCAACCACCATACACATTCCTCTCTCTGGCGGCAAGCCGGGATCGGGCAATGGACCGGGCATAAATATACCCCAGGAGGCGGTGAATCGCACCACAGTCTGGCAGCAGATCAACAAAGATGGGAATGGCATCTCCGAGCAGCTCATCATACCGGTGACCGTCAAAGTTCGTCAAATCAATGGCAATCAGTAAGTGTTCAAGTAGAGAGTCCCGTCCCCTCTGGGTGCCAAGCGAATCAGACACTCAGACTCAGACTCAGGCATACAATCATGAGCTGCTAGAACTCTTCACTCTTCTGCTCGATCTTTTGTATATATAAATCTATCTTTCTGCTTTCCAACCTCCCCACCTATCTATCGACTATAATATCATTCATGCTCGTCTATGCATTCCCCCCACATGCTACCCTCTCTTCAGTGCCACAACAAATGCCGCCGTCCTCTCGCCACGCCTGTCACCCATGCACGAGGCGGATGAGAACGAGGTCACCATCAATCCGACGAATCCACAACAGATCAACAACTGCAAGGAGGCGGCAGCCAAACTCGATGGATCCATGCTCGCCAGCCAGAATCCAGCCAATATAACACCCGTCTAAGGTCTGCCGATCAGATCAGATCGTCTAAGGAAACAGAAAACAATTTTATACCAAAAAAATGGACATAGCACACACTCAAACACACACACACATCCAATGTAGTATTTCATAGTTCATCATAGAAATAGTAGCAGTATCATAGTCTCTATAAAGAGTGGAAAGTCAGTTTCGGCAGGTGTCTCCGCTGAATTTTTTTTCACTTTACTCCCTCTATTTATCCAACATATAGTAGTAGTTTTTTCACCAGAAACATTTTGGTAAAGATTTTCAGCTGTACCCAGAAGCCAACAAAATCCATTTGATTTTTGGGATCAGGTACAAGTTAGACAAGTATTATTTATAAATATGATAATTGTAGTAACCCAAACCATTACACGTATGCACTTTTGAGGCGATTTTTTATAGCGACGATTGTCAATTCCAAACAAACAAAAACTGATCGGATCGAACAGGTCCCCGAGACTTCGGTTCCACCGAAGCAGAACCATTTTTTCCTATATGCATGTACGTGCTTCTCTTTTGGCTGGGTTAATTCTGTGTTACGTGGGGGGAGGGGGAGTTTGTTGAGCTGTGATCTGATGTGCATTTTTGGGTGGGGATTATAGAAGAAGAAAGCCACTCATTTAGCACTCTAGCCAAGACGTGGAGAGCTGTAAACCTTTGTATTATAATTTATACCTTAACCTAAGTTACCCACACAAAAAATAAACACAACCCATCACACACACACACACATGAATATATAAAAAATATATAACTATAACTATTGAATAAATATTAAAGTGGAAAATACATCAATTACCAAAAAAGAAGCAAAAACAGCGAAACAGAAATAAAAACCTAAACCAAATTCTGTATATTTCATTTGATTACTTTTGGTATGCATTATTCCTTTTTCTTTCAGTGTATTTTGTGCATAGTTGTGAGTGTTGCGTGTGGCACATAGTGTTCTATACTCTATCTCTGTGTATACATACCATCTAGCACCAGATTCGAGCTATGCCTATGCCTGTCTTCCATTCAATCAATACGAATCAAGCATCAATCAGACATCTCTCAAGACTAAGAAATGGAATCAGAGTTTGTGAAAATAGAAAATCCATCATGGCTATCATCAATGATATATACATACTTACTTTTGATATCTTCACAAGCTCTGTTTTCCAAAAAAAAAAAAACAACTCATGGCCAACCTCATTTGCATTATGATTGATGTCTGTATATGTATGTATTATCCATATACTATACTCTTAAATTGTATTTACCAGTCTAGTTAACGTTTATGTGATTACCGATAAGCTACTATTAACAATTGAATTTCATTATTGCAGAACACAAAATTTGATACGTCGAAGCAATTGTGGCGTGGATATCTTACACCAACAGAAACATCCGTTTGAGTCAATGATTTAATATGATTTTTTTAGTGTCTAATTGTATACAAGTACAACAATTATTTGTGTGTCTAACTATTATCTGTCTATATCTTATGTGTATGTTCTACCAACCGTCCCGTAATGTGAATATCGCAAGTGCGTTGGCTATTATTCTTGAAATTGCTACATATCAAGAGGCAAAGCAGAAACAATTGAAACTGAATCTGATATACCTCCCTAAATCTATGCAATTCACTATAATAAATGTGTAAAATGACGTTTGACAATATTTATTGGGAACAGGATTCGAAACGACATTTGTAATGCGCGCCAACTTTACATATATTTTTGTAACGATATTTGTATCGATGTTTCTATCGAGTGGTGGCCTGCGTTCGCTGGCACTGTCAGCTGTTGGCAGGTTGACAGATTACGGTACACACGGTATATATATAAGTAAATAAATATGTACATATATATATATTAGGCTGGGCCAAAAAAATTTTTTTTTTAATTCAAACGGTTGCGGGCCCAACTGCCAATCCTGAGTTTTTAAAGTCAAAATTTCGTAAAAAATGCCTTCCTTTTCATTTTTTTACATTTCAATGCCTTATATTTCCCAGATGGTAAACTGTAATCACAGAACTTTTGCTTAACTTCTAGCTGGTTTAATTATCTTTTGCAAAATAGCAAAGTTCTATTACAACCATCGTCATTAATCAGTTATGTGGAAAAAAAACCAGCACAACCTCTGAAAAAAGCTATTAAAAAAATCAATACCAAACTTAAATAATTCTTCAAAAACCTTAAATTACAAATTAGAAAAAACCATAATTCTTCCTAAAAGAAATCTTTTAAAGCCTCCCTATCTATTAGCTAAAAAGTCGGTTTGGATCCTTGAGGAAAAAAAAAGTACGATTTTGTGGAGTAGTGCAGTCTAACCGCACTGCTGTGGAATAGCCAGGAATATTATAAGCTTCATTTGAGTAAGTAAAGCCTCAACGAAGCACAAAATAGAAGATTTGAACATTAGCTCATCAGAAGAGACATCGCTAACTGCTACCAGAAGCAGTTAGCAAGTTTTCCGTATTATGGAAGAAAATATTAAATTCAGACGGATTGAGCAAACAATCGAAGTGGGTGTGAAGTATCTCTCCATCTCTCTCGCGACAGAAGGGAGACCGCTGCCTGGTCATTCAAGTTTAGAACATTTATTTGAGAACCTATTTCAGGAATCGATAAAGCTCTAAATTCCTCATCAATTGCCTCATCACCTGCCTCACCTGCATTTTCTACACTATTGGCTTCGGCTTCCATGGCCCTCCTAAGCACGTCTTCTAAATCTGCTAATGCATTGTATATTTGGAAATTCGAACTAACTAATTCCACATGCTCACTAACTCTGCCTCTTTATCTCTCCATTGATAAAACAGCTTCACTAGTGTTCTTAAATAGTTCAACCTATCTGTGTTTATATTAAACCTCATATATTTTAAAATCGAAGGCTTGGTCCGTTCCCTAATTAAACCACTACTATCGCGGAGAGGGAAATATACTTCTACTAGGACCACATTTTCTTCGTCCTCTTCATCATCATTTTTGCCAGTTCTTTTTTGGCTTTTAGAAAATTCATAATTTGCTGAAAAATCGGCTAAACACAGGCCCTCAAAAAAATTTTGTCTTTGTTCATACCGCTCCAGCAATCTTTTGACTAATATGTCAGTGGTATCCAGATTCATATTTTGAAGGTTGCTTGTGGATTTGAGCATTCGAACTCGTTGCTCTGGAGGGAAAGTATTTACTTTAACACATTTGTTGCTGGTTCCGGACAACGTAATGCCTAGACAACAGCATACGGCTTCCTGAGCAGATACCTCAGTGCCAGAAATAAATGTATGACCAATGTCCTGTAGCTTTTCTCTGATCGTGTAATTGCCCCCTTGAACTTCGCTTACCGCCGCGCGCATAAGCTTTGAAATACCCCTTTGGGATTTACTTATTAGAATTTTTGAATTTTCTTAATATTTCCTTGGTGAAAATCAAGGTTTGGAGTTTCCTCCGGCAATGGACTCAATATCTCTGTTTGGGGCATTGGAGGGTATGGAATACCGAATCAACAAACTTTGTTTCCACTTTTACCAACTGTCTTAAGACATGACCTGTTTGTGTGCTTATGCTTTTGGTATTCAACATACGGAGCTAATTCTGAGTCTGTTATATTTACTGTAATATGTTTATTAATGAAGGCTACAACTGTTGAAATTGACTCAGTACTGGTTAAGTCCACTGCTGGGGCATCTTTCAGCCAAAACATGCCGTATATTCACGGGGGAGAACCTCTCTGTTGAAATTCAACACGCCAATAGAATTTGATGACGAAGTTTTCTCCGAAAATGCCCTCTGGACTCCTCATAACTTTTAAAATCTCGCGATACCTATAATCAAAATACCTAGCACAAGTAACTGGATCTGCCCTAATAAGACGCGCCTTTTCGTCCCAAACTAAATCAATGGCCTCTTCTTCGCAGCAGACAGAGTGATGAAAAAAGTCGGTAGGCCGAACTGACGAATCATGGCCATAACCTTCTTCTTTTCATCCTCCCAGTGAGCAAGAGACGAGCGAATATCTTGAAGAACTCTATATCCCTCATCGTGGTTAATAGTTCGCCCTATAAAATTCTCATTAAGAGCGTTGGCTGCCGTTACTGCACTGGAAATGCTCCGTTTACGTAAGCAGATTGAAATGTTATTGCGAATCTTAATGAGTTCTAGTTTCTTGTAATTGAAAAAGAATTTATCAGTTCTACAACCTCTCCTATCTACTACCGACTACGCTGCCGGCCTCTGTTTTAAAGCTATTTTTTCTATTGTGTGTATTTACAGTGGATAATAGCGGTTTTATTACCATTTTGTTTGTGGCTTAAATATATACTTACTGGGAATGGTTGTTTATTACGTTGGTTTTTTTTTCTCGATTTTTCTATATTTTTCTCTTTATATTGTCTTAATTTACATAGGTTAACATCAACGATATTATGTTAAATTGACACTAACATTGAAAGAAGACGAAGGTTTTAACAATCACTTTCTCCGCTATAAAATGTTAACAGATATATAAAATATCTCTGGCTCATTCTGTAAACATTTATAGCATTCTCAAAAGCGTTGTAATTTCCATTTTACATGAAATTAAAAAAACATTTGGCAACATGTTTTTGCAGCCTTTCAGTATTTTACATAGCTATGTAGTTGACATGTAGCAAGTGTGTATTTTTTGGCCGTTTCTGTTTGAAACTTATTATGTAAACAATCCAATAAAAACAGTTCTGAAAACTAGCCAATCCTGAACAAAATTTATTGAAGAATTTGATAAAATTATTTGTTTACGGCTGAGAGGGCAACTAGCTAGTTACATTAAACTGAATATCAAAATCATGGAATAGACAAAACACTTGAAATTAATGTTTGAAAATTATGGTATTTAAATGGTATTTCTCGAAACTCAAATGGTATTTATTTGTTGGCCGGATGGTACTTTTTATCGTTATCGGCGCGGTCACGCTGTCAGCTGTTAGGGCGCGTGTTTTTTTACTAAAATCCGTATTTATTAATTAAAAACTAAGTAAAATGTCTTTAATTACGCGTTTACTGCAGGGTAATCTGCCGCTGCGCATAAATGCACTGCAGACATTGAGTCGGGTAAGGCCTAAACAGGGGAGAATTTCTCCAGCCCAGTCGGCATGTTATATAATTGTTGTAAGAATTCGCTTTAATTAACTTATTTGCCCACAGTGCGGCTACAGCTCACATGCCAAGTTTGCGGAGCACCGGCCCATCGACAAGATCCGCAATATAGGAATCTCTGCGCACATAGACAGCGGGAAGACGACGCTGACGGAGCGCATCCTCTTCTACACCGGTCCGCATCGCGGAGATGCACGAGGTGCGTGGCAAGGACAATGTGGGGGCCACCATGGACAGCATGGAGCTGGAGCGACAGCGTGGCATAACCATCCAGTCGGCGGCCACCTACACCGTGTGGAAGAATACGAATGTAAATATCATCGACACGCCCGGGCATGTGGACTTCACGGTGGAGGTGGAGCGTGCATTGCGTGTGCTTGATGGCGCTGTCCTCGTACTCTGTGCCGTGGGTGGAGTTCAGAGCCAGACGCTGACCGTCAACAGGCAAATGAAGCGCTACAACGTACCCTGTTTGGCATTCATAAATAAGCTGGATCGCTTGGGATCGAATCCCTATCGCGTGCTCTCTCAACTGCGCTCCAAAATGAACCACAATGCTGCCTTTATCCAACTGCCAATTGGTGTGGAGAGCCACTGCAAAGGTCTGGTGGATTTGGTAAGAGAGAAGGCCATCTACTTTGAAGGCGAAAACGGAGTGGATGTGAGGCTGGACGAGATCCCGCAGGATATGCGTGTGGAAAGCCAGGAGAGGCGACAGGAGCTCATTGAGCATCTTTCCAATGCGGATGAGACCTTTGGTGAATTCTTCCTCGAGGAGAAACCCTTCACGGAGGCAGATCTCCGGGCTGCCCTAAGGAGGACCTGCATCAATCGAACATTTACGCCCGTTCTGGTGGGAACAGCTTTAAAAAACAAGGGCGTTCAACCTCTTCTCGATGCTGTCATCGATTACCTGCCCAATCCCGGAGAAGTTGAGAATCTGGGCTTCATCGAACAGGAGGGCAAGGATCCCGAGAAGGTTGTTCTCAATCCAGCACGCGATGGCAAGGATCCATTTGTGGGTCTGGCCTTCAAGCTGGAGGCTGGGCGCTTCGGTCAGTTAACGTATCTCCGCTGCTACCAGGGCGTGCTCCGCAAGGGTGACAACATATTCAATGCCCGCACGAATAGGAAGGTGAGGATCGCCCGCCTCGTACGCCTGCACTCCAGCCAAATGGAGGATGTCAACGAGGTCTATGCTGGGGACATTTTTGCCCTGTTTGGAGTGGACTGCGCCTCCGGTGATACCTTCACTACGAATCCCAAGAACAACCTGGCCATGGAGTCGATCTTTGTGCCAGAGCCTGTGGTTTCCATGGCTATCAAGCCAAACAACTCCAAGGATCGGGATAACTTCTCCAAAGCCATTGCCAGATTCACCAAAGAGGATCCCACCTTCCAGTTCTTCTTCGACAATGATGTCAAGGAAACGCTTGTATCGGGAATGGGAGAACTTCACCTAGAGATCTATGCCCAGCGTATGGAGCGGGAGTACGGCTGTCCCGTGACGCTTGGCAAGCCAAAGGTAGCCTTCCGCGAGACCCTCGTGGGACCCTGCGAATTCGATTACCTGCACAAGAAGCAATCTGGAGGATCGGGTCAGTATGCCCGCATCATTGGCGTGATGGAGCCACTGCCGCCAAATCAGAACACACTCCTGGAGTTTGTGGACGAGACGGTGGGCACCAATGTGCCCAAACAGTTTGTCCCTGGCGTGGAGAAGGGCTACCGGGAGATGGCCGAGCGAGGCATGCTCTCTGGACACAGGTTGGCCGGCATTAAATTCCGCCTGCAGGACGGTGGCCATCACATTGTGGATTCCAGCGAGCTGGCTTTCATGCTGGCCGCCCACGGGGCCATCAAAGAGGTCTTCCAGAATGGCAATTGGCAGATCCTCGAGCCCATTATGATGGTGGAGGTGACGGCACCGGAGGAATTCCAGGGCGCTGTCATGGGTCATCTGAGTAAGCGTCATGGCATCATCACGGGCACCGAGGGAACGGAAGGATGGTTTACTGTCTACGCAGAGGTGCCTCTGAATGATATGTTTGGCTATGCGGGCGAATTGAGGTAAGTGGGAGGAGATCCTTGACCACTTGAGATCCACACCTTTCTGATCCACATCCGTCCATATCCAGATCCAGCACCCAAGGCAAAGGAGAGTTCACCATGGAGTACTCCCGATACTCTCCCTGCCTGCCCGATGTCCAGGACCAGATTGTGCGACAGTATCAAGAGACGCAAGGAGCTTCCCAACCTGATAAAAAGAAAAAGAAGAACTAAGTCAGAGCTTAGCACTAGTAATGTCATATTTTTAAGCAGTAACCAGCAGCACCTCCCCCAAATCGAAGTGTCATTAAGCCAGCTCCATCCTTAGTTAAATTTGTTTTCAGTTTTTACTGTGATAATCACTACATGTACAGTCCTTTTTGTATATTAAAGTTGACCACAAAATTTACAAAAAGAGCCGTTTGGCAGAGAGCCACAAAACTCTCAGCGTTGCCCACCGCTGTTTGGGAACAGTTCAACAACAACGGATGGTCGAGTCGAGCACACGACATGTATTTTGTTTTTGCATTCTCGGAACCGACCAAGTGTAATTTTACACGGCATCTACATGGCCAAAGTGGCGCACCAAGTGTTCGCGAAATGTAAAAAATATTCAAAAATATTTCGGTATATTTCTCAGGTACTTCTGGTCACACTGCTCTCTTTCACGCGTTCCGTGCCCGATTTTTGTTTATAAAAATTGAATTGAATTAAATTACTTCCAATGCAATTTCATTTTAAAATTGAAGACAAGGATATTGTGCCTGCGGCTGCCAGTCATGTGATCAATCCACACAGTTCTTTGCAGCCCCAGCAGCCCGCTGTACTGGTGGAGCCAAAGGATGCACAACATGAAATCAAGTTGCAGTTAGTCCAAATTCCACACCCAAATATTCCAATGACAATCCTCTGAAATGTAGTAATCTTTTGGATTTCGTTCGCCTTTTGACAGAAACATTGTGGCCACCTTCTCAGTGAACTGCGAACTGGACCTCAAGACAATAAATTCCAGGACCCGCAACTCTGAATACTCGCCCAAGCGTTTCCGCGGCGTAATCATGCGCATGCACTCGCCCCGCTGCACGGCGCTCATCTTTCGCACGGGCAAAATCATATGCACGGGAGCCCGCAACGAGATGGACGCCGACATTGGCTCGCGCAAGTTTGCGCGCATTCTCCAGAAACTGGGCTTCCCGGTCAAGTTTATGGAGTACAAGCTGCAGAATATTGTGGCCACGGTGGACCTGCGCTTCCCCATACGCCTGGAGAACCTAAATCAGGTGCATGGCCAGTTCAGTTCCTACGAGCCAGAAATGTTTCCCGGCCTCATCTATCGCATGGTCAAGCCACGCATTGTCCTGCTGATATTTGTCAATGGCAAGGTGGTCTTTACGGGTGCCAAGTCGCGCAAGGATATCATGGATTGCCTAGACGCCATTTCTCCCATATTGTTAAGCTTTCGCAAAACGTAGACGCAGAGCTCTGCTCGGGGTCTGCTATTATCGAAGGTATTTTTAGATAGTTTTTTTATACGCCTTTTTACGAACAATGCCATTACTTAGATGTGTAGATACTCTGATATCTTTCATAGGAAATATACATACATACATAAATGCAAATAGTAAGCATTTTTTTATTCTACAACAAAATGTTAAAAAAATATATATACATTAAGCTACTGAGCTTCTTCAGTAGCGTAGCGTTAATTCGCTATTGATTAGTAAAATAATTTCACAAGTTTTTGGTTTATATTCTATGTGTATGTTTAAGTTTATCTGTCGCTCAAGGGCCGATATGGTGATTTAGTTAAACAGGCGGACAATTCTTTTTTATTTTATAGCTTGGAGAAGATTATAAGATATTTGGCCAGAATCACCCAGAGGTATGTCGGATCCTTGGATTATTATCAGTGTCTGTTGATCAATAATGAATAATGAATTCACTATGAACTTATTCACAGTATATTATCGTCTACCGGCTCCGTTACTTAGCTGTTTGTTATTATTGTCTCTTTCCTATTTTATTGCCGCATTCGTTCTTGTGAGAGAGTGCGTATTGATGGAATCGCTCCAAGAGGATTGCAGTAACGAAATCAATCAAACGAGCAGCCATCTACTTGATTCTGTTGGTTTGGGGATTGGACTTCGTACTCGAACAGGATGTAAAATTTACATTAGATTCTAATGAAATCGTTGAAACTCCGAGAAATACGCGGGTGACACAGACCGAATATCAACTGAATTGCACTCCCCGGGTGCCACAGCCACATCCATTACATACAATAATTTAATTTGAATTACTTTTGTTTATTTTTCACATTTCTTTCATTACAAAGAAAACACATAAAAAACCCATGTACTTCATGGAGAGATTCGGTTCGTTTCTTATTGGTAAAGGATAAAGGGACGGACTTTACACACGAACGAGGACAGATTTATTCTCATTCCGTCTACATGGCTATTTTGTCAAGAGAGTACAAACTATTTGTGGAGTGGGGAAAAAGTACGTATAAAACTTACAGACTATGCAGATTCATAAGTTGCATAAATAAAATTGGACGGTTACGGTTCCTTCAACGTGTGACTCCGGTACGCTTTCGTTTACAATTAATTCGAAGAGTAAGGCGTAAGGATTATACATTAATATATATACTATATAGATAGGTTTCAATTTCAATTCGATATGCATGCAAAAACATTGTTGTCTCGTTACATTTTGCTAACACGATTTCTAAAATCTATTAAAGGCATCATTTTGTGAAAGACACATACAAAATATTTAACGTTTCTCTTTTCCTCGAGTAAAACGTTCTTCCAGCGGCACTTGGAGCCCGCTCTATGGTAAGGCGTAGATAATGGTTGTTGGTTGTTCATTTCATAGATGGTTCGAATATGGCTTATAAAATACATTTTTTTTTTTGTTAAGATTGCTACATATTAAATGTGGGTTCGGGGAGGTTCTGTGTCTGCTTTTGTATAAAATATTCTCTTTGTTCAGCGTTAAAAATAAAATTACAAAATTAATTCATGAATTAATTCTGTGGCTTGGGCTGCTTTTGTACATTCATTCGATTCTACAGGGGTCGGGGGTCAAGTAAACAAATTAAGAATACTAAAAAAATTAAACAAATAAAAACAAAAATGTTGACCAGCATTTTTGGGACGGAATGCAATTTCGTTTGGTAAAAAAAACAAAAACTATAAAACAAAAAATTAGCAATGCGTTTTGTGGGGGAATTGAATGGTGTAGTGGTGGGGTTGGGTTCTCTAGGGTTTCTCTATGTGAGCAAATGCATCATGTTCAGGAGTATATGCGTGCGACTTCTCAGCAGATAGACAAACACGCTGAAGAACAGCAGCGACACGGACATGGAGGCACGCCAGCCCATGTTGTAGATGGAACAGTATGGGCATTGAGAGCTGCCGCATACCTCGCATATATTTAACAAATAGGTGGGCAAGGCATCGAAAATTGATTCATTGAAGCGTTCTAAAAGATAAATTATTATTCTCTGGCATTTTTTTGTTATTTGGATTATGTAGAATACATACCCGGCGCATAATAGTCGTAAACGCGCACAGGCAAATATCGCGACATATTGGCCACTGGATACCAGCGTTCTATGGTAAAGTTTACACAAATATCCTCCTGATCCAGCTGTCGGTATCAAATAAAATTAAGGATTAGTTTGGACTCTTTCTTGGAAACATTTCTGGGACTTACAAAATCAAAATAGAAGATAATCTTGCGATCTAGATAGCGTGCACGTCTCAGATTCCTCACACGATTACTCAGGACATAGCTGTCCAGTTTCTGTTGCTGTATCCAATAGCCAGTGGGTATGGCCACATCCAATATGGCCATGCCCGAGCGTTCCGATTCTTCAGTATTTATCCAGCTGTACAAAAAATAATAGCAAGGATTAGGAATGGAATTGAGTTTCTCCGGCGCTGAACCTACTTCTGACAGGCCACATATGAGATATGCGACTGATTCCTGCCATGGAAAATGGCCTTGGTGTGCAGCCCAAATGCAGGCACTGGCGGTTTGGTCTGGAACTTTTCTATATCCACATTATATTGGACATGCATCTGCAAGATGGCATAGCCAGCGCCCTTGGCTTGTACTTTAATGGTGCCCCAGGCATCGGGTATCTACGAAATAAAAGCAAAATCATTGAGAAATCATTTACCATATGCAGTGCAGTAAGGCCTTACCTCGATGCTCTGTAGACGCGCCAGATTGGTGTCATCAATGTGCAGCGTCTGTGTCTTTCCACCCGTCGAGGAGGCCTCTATTTCCACAGTAAGCGAAGAGACTTCACGTATCCTAGACCTGACTGTGTACTCCACCAGGGCCTTTAATGCGGTACTTGTATCCTGTGTGGATTCCCAACCACCATCATTCAAACGCTGGGAGTTCAACCAGCGCACAATGGGATCCACAAAGAACTCGCGACGTGCCACATACACCAAGAGAGCATATGCAGTGGTTTCTATATTCAATGAATCATATTCGTAAGGCAGTCGTGGCAGGGAGAACCACTTTTGATTCTCCAGTTTGCGTGGCGGTTGCGGTATCTCTTGATTGCCCCAATACATAAATTCTCCTATTGTCCTGGCATGCTTTCGCAAAATGCCAAATACATGCTCGGCGATGGGCGAATTGCACAACTGCAGGGCATAGGCTGTGATGGCCACATCGTATGGTTCGGGTGTCTCCTGCAGGAATTGCATATTCCGCTCAATCCAGGCCACAGCACGCTGCGTGGCCAAGGCCACACGAGAGCCCAGAGTGCCCGACAGATCTTTAACAGTGGCCAACGTGATCAGGACATGCGATGTCAGTGTAATATTACGATTCCTCAAATGCGTATAGCTGGCAAAATTTGTGCGATTGATTTTCCTATCTGGCATCCAGGTAACCTCATAGAAGGCACCCTCTGGCGTCTGATGCTGCAAAAGCCAGCGCATATTCTTCTCAATGATCGTAGCATCGATCCAGATAAAGTTCTCCCACTCGTAGAAGCTGGCCTCCTGGAAGATGCGCAGGCAATAGCTCGTCAGCCACACCGACGAGTCCGAGTTGTTCCAGTCCGAACGGAACAGCGAAAAGCTGCCATCCTGTCGCATGAAGCTCAATTGTCGCTGATAGCCGATGTTCATGTGATAGAAGGCATTCTTCTCTAGCGTTTTGTTACGCTGATTGATCAGACGCATGTACATAATCGTATATAGATTGGCGGCAAAACTGAAAGCATTCTGTTCGGCCGACTCCATGGGCAGGTACAGCAATGAGCTGGCATTCACGGGCATGGTGGGAAAGATGGGACCCACCACATCACCCAACACAGAGATTCGGGCGCGATTTGATCCGTAAACAAAGTAACGATCCACCTGGTAGGGTATCTCTGGTGTCTGTGTCACATTCACATGCATATACTCCAGGACATAGGCGCGATTCGAGAGATCCAGCAGCACCGACTGATGACGGTACTGTGGCAGGCCATCGGACTCCACATGCAGTCGTCGGGTGATGGTATCCGTGCCAAGTAGGGTGGCCACATGCAGTGTGACATCCACATCTCCCAGTCGCTGTGGCACCACTGGCACATACACCACTGTGGTGCCTTGGGCATCTAAATAAATGAAGAACTGATGCTCTCCGCCGCTTGTACGAGGGTTATACGACCTCACAATGCCATCCTCTTCGACGTGGACAAACTTGTAGTCCGGACTGCCATGCAACACTACCGTAGCCTCAATAGGCGTGGTCATATAGTTGAAAACTGTTACGCGCACGCCCACTTGCTCGCCCTGCCTGCAGGTCTCGGGCATTTCCACATTGATGAAGAACGGCTGCACGCCCACGTATTCGATGGCCTTGTTGAGCATACCGAAGCCCTTGGAGGGGCTCACACTGAACGCACTCACCATCCAATAGGCGGGACGATCGGGCACTTCCACATTGAAGATGTAGCGACCATGAGGGCCTATGTTGACATCCCGCCACAGCCACACGTTCTCGTAGTGGCGCAGCACGCGATTGAAGCGATATTTGCGATAGGTCAGCAACTCCGTGTCATTCCTTGTTTGGCAGCCAATTTCGTCCGTGCCATCGTCACAGTCAAACTGGCCGTCGCATTGCTTCTCCAGCCTATAGCAGCGTCCACTCAGGCACTCGCCATAGCCCTGGGTACGATTGCAGGTGTCCTGTCGTCGCGGCACATAGCCATCTGTGAAGACAATCAATCCACTGTACTCGAACGTGCGATTGGCATCGATGCCAAAGGAGGAGGCAGGGAAGTACACCAGCTCGTCGGGATTACCCTCATGCGAGTACCAAATGTGTTTGTATGTACCATTTGTTTGCTCATCAAAGTTGGACATTTTTGTGATGATCTTGGCGTAGGTCAACTCATTACCCGCCTGCATGGTATAGAAGGCGCTGTCAATGCCCGAGAGGCCCACATAGGAGCCGGGCTCACCGAATATGGCCACCTCTACCTTCTCTCCAGTTCTGGCTTTGCGATTATTGATGTACACCGTGAAATTATTCCTGGAAATGCCGTTGACAGGGAAGGTAAGCGAGTCCGCAACCACCTGGCCCTGTTGTGTGATCTTCCACACCACC